CTGTGGTCCTCTGGGTTCTGACGCCGTATGATCTTGTAAAATTGCTGTTGCCGCGATGGGCCAATGGGAATGGGCAAATAGCCACTTCGTCTAATCGTGTAGGAAAGTGGGTAGATCAAGGCGATACGTTTCTCCGGAATATTGGTGACTATTGTACACGGCGTCATAACCGACAAGACCACAGTCAGTTGCTTCACCGCCGTGAGAAACTTCCACATCATTTCCCCTGAACCGCAATGTGCACTGACTGTTGCAGGGTGTCACGTACCCCTGCATGCATGCAGTGTGGTCCCGATGGGCGCCGCCATTAGAGCGCAGTCACCTGGCAGGTTTCGCTGGCTCTGGCAGTTACGTGGGCACAGTGATTGCGCTGCCTCTCTCGGGGCTTCTCGCAAGTAACTTCGGCTGGCCCTCCATCTTCTATGTGTTCGGTGAGATTTATTCTCGCCTTTGTTACGTAGGTTGTCAGCAAAGGCACATAATTTTCCTTCGAGTGATTGATATTCACGCACCATCCACTCATGTCTTAGGTGTCTCTAGGTAATGCACCTTAGTCACGAAGGCACTGATGTGGAATTAATTCTAGGTCGTGACTGCTTCGTTCTGAATATACACTTGAGGAGGACTCCCCCCCCCTCAGAAGTTTTAACTTAATTCGTTAGGGAGGCCCACATCTTCACGTCGTGAAGTTTTTATTACATTTTACCTTTTCTGCATTATTTATCAAATGAGTGGTTGTGTTCGTTCGACTGTTCTTTATCTGGCTACTGTTTTTTTCTTACCTTAAAGTCGAGTGGTTAGCATTACTTATTTGTTTTCAGGAAGGCCCTAGTCCAATAATCAACCCACAAATAGCCTGTACTGTCTGAGTTCGTATTTTTCACCAGTTTCTTCAGACAATTGAGGGGATACCATCATAAATTCTGCCAACATCGTTAAATAAAGAGCGAATAAGGAAGAGTTGTGATGAACTGTCACTTTAAAGTGCAATTCTAAAATGATCTAGGAAAGAAAGAATGCTAATAAAATGTGTTTCCTCGATTGTGTAAATGTGAATTGTGGCATTCTGATTTACATAGCAGGTCGGTTACCAACGTTTTGGAGGAACATGTCGCTTCTATCTTCAGGATAGAAGTGAATATGAAAGCTATTGTAACTACTTACATGACTACAAGTGTCTGGGCCCCAAGTGACCACAGTCTAGCAAGAATTCTGCTGTAATATTCCATTCTACAGTCCCCAACAATAAACGTGGCTTCCCTCCATGTGGCACCACTAACATACGCGTCACGTGATGCTTTAGTTGTTAACTGTGTCTGTAACAGGATTGTTGCTAAATGACTGTTCTAGTAAACCTTCATGCCCTACGTAAGAGGAGATATCACCTTTATGCACTATACTGTCCACAGATCACGAGAAAAACCCTGCTGAGGGAAGTCGTTTCTGGTCGGTGCGGGGGGAATGTTACTTATCAGGTGGACTAGAGGGCTGCTATTGGTGGGAAGTGTGATACGTCAGAGTTTAAGGCTACTACACAGACTGAAAACATCAAGCAGTTAAGAGTAGCGTGTAGTGAGCGCAACTCTAATGTGTTCTGTGGGTGTTGTGATAATATTCTAGATTAAATCGCTGTGCCACTGTGAGGTAATCTTAAGGCTGTGCCCATTAGAACACATGAAAGCCTGTCGTCTGTTGTTCGTTCAGTGGTTGTGGAACGAATGCTTGTAGGATGGGTCGTCACTCACCACGAAATCTTGCGCATGTGCGTATATCGAATTCCTAGCAGGGATTTTCTCCTGATCTGTGGACTGTCATTTACCCACGTTTACCTTGGTTTAATGTACGTTCTTTCTGTTCTGGGAAGTTCTTGGCCTGCGAGGGCCTATTTGGTTTCTCGGAGACGCTTCCGTGTTCAGTTAAGAATTGCCCAACCGGATGGGTGTCAGCTGCTAACGTTATTTGCAAGGCCTTTGATATAATTAATATAAATATTGTTTCACCACGTCGCATTTCGTAATAATTATGGTACTTACTAATTCCATTCAGTTTCATCACACGCCTTTTTCCTTCTTAATTCTTACTTACATTTATTTATGTCTTTGGACCTTTTGTTATTATCCATCGTCCTGTTTGAACTTCCTGTTTGTTTTTATTTGTTTTGCATGTCATCGTCTCTTTTTAACTTAAGCCTGCCTGAATTTAATTTAATTTATTACTTATTCACAGATATTTTTATATATTTTAGTAAACAATTGGTGCTCACTAGCCATTTTTTGTGTTAATCTATGCTACGTAAATTCTATACAATTTGATTATTATTATTTAGTTACATCTATTATTTTAGAGCCACGGTGGTCTAGCGGTTAGAACGCTGGCCTTGTAATCCTGGGGTCTCGGGTTCAATTCCCGGCGGTGCCCGAATTTATAACTTGTGTTGGGCAAGGCCGTGGTCTAGGCAACACGGAGTTTTCCTCCGGGGGCTTCTTCCCCGGTTTCTCCGTGGCATCCCAACAATTACTCCATTCACACACAGAAGAAGGCAATAGCAAACCACTTCTGGATCATCTGCCAAGAACGTATATGAACAGGTCCCAGTCCGAGAAAAGGAGGGAAGGATCCTGTTCATATGGACCTGTCTCAGACAGAACACTAAATATTAATTTGAATCTATTATTTGTTCTTGTGCTGCATTTGTACTTGGCTGTCCAGGTGATAATGCAGCACACTAAATAATTTCAGAATACAACTGACTAGACCCTAGTGTTGCTGAGCTACGCAATGTTACAGGAATCGTGGTGATGATCTGGTTCTTCATCTGGTGCAAAGTCGTGAAAAGTGGACCAGAAGAAGACCCAAATATCTCTCCTGAAGAACTGAAATATATCCAAGATTCAATGGGCAACATACCACATAAGGTACTCCTCGAACGTCGCGTATAACACGTAGAAATATTCATTATTAAGATGGCTGAATTAGTAGGTTTATTCTTATGAATTGTATGATTTAATATGAATTAATTTGTTTGCCACTGATGATGACCTCTTGAGATCGAAACGCGTTTGGCACCAAGAGTCTTTTCAAAGTGTTTGGATGCATGATTTTATATATCAATACACTGCGTGGTATGCAAGGTTTTAATATAATTAAAATGTGTTTAAGTGAAACCTGTAGTAAAATTAGTGTAATTAAACGTGTCCGATACATTTACTATTCGGAATGGCCTGAAACAGGGAATGCTTTATCGCCACTGCTTTTAAATTTTGCCTTCGAATATGCAATCCGGTTTGGAATTGAATGGGACACATCAGCTGTTGGTCTATGCTGATGATATTAATCTATCAGGCGAGAATATAAATACTACAAAAGCGAACACAGAAACACTCTTAAGGGCTAGTAGGGGTGTTGGTCTAGAAAGAAATTCAGAAAAGACAAAGTTTATGATCATGTCTCGGCGACAGAATTCAGGACAGAACCAGAATATAAGGACAGCTAAAGAAACGTTCGAAAACAATTTTACGCCATACATGTTCGGCTGATTACCATTTTTAGGGACCAGTATATTATTTCCGAGGAAGCTACCTTGAAACTTTTAAAAATATGAACACTCTTCTGTGTTAACACCGCCATTTTAATGCAGTACCATCTCGGGTATCCGACATTCCGTTTTATCCGACGTGCCGTGATTCAGTGAGGGACTGAATGCTATCGAGGCTGCACTTAGTTAGGGAGCCGACCGCAAGCGACGTTCAGCTGTTCAGGCGCTGGCTTCACCTTGCCACAAAGAAAAGGATGGAGGCTCAGATGCAAATACCAGTTACCAGTTTCTTCAAAATAATTTAATTTAAAATCTACTTTATGTTAAACGCTATTTCAATTTGTGAGTTTTTTGTTTGTTTGATGCCGTATTGTATCTTCTTTCGTAGTCTAGTAATATCGTAAACTGAGTAAAAATCGAGTTGATATTTAACAACGTATTATCATAAATTTTCAATTATTCGACTGTTTTTCTGTCCGATTTAGGTCGGATAATCGGTACTCTGCTTTACTTAAGAGCGTTTACTCTCGGTATCTTTATTATTATTTTACTCTATTGATTTTGTAAAAAAAATGCAACAATGTGCATAATATTGGAGGTTAGTAATATTACTTTGACAATTTTAAGGTTAATGAATTGTAATCCCAGTAGCATTCATGATGTTACATTATCTCTGAAGCTAGAAAACCGCCAAAATATATGGCATGAAAAAATTGTATTGGATGCAACTAGAATACGGTCTTTAAGCGTTGAATATAAAGGATCTAGCAAAAAGAAGTTAAAAATGATATTACGAGAGCTGACAATAAGCAAGTTGAATAGTTATGTTTTATGAAGACTTTATCATGGTGACTGTCTTGATTTACGTTCAAAACTGATGAAGTCTTTTAAAGTTTTCTTTCAAAACAGTTCAGTATGCGTTTTAATAACATTACGTTCTATCTTAGGACGTGAAGCACCCATGGGGTAAATTCCTGACATCCCCCGCTGTCTGGGCGATTGTTGTGGCCCACTTCAGCGAGAACTGGGGCTTCTACACGCTACTCACCCAACTGCCAATCTTCATGAAAGGTGACGTCAGTGAATGTACTTACGCTTTACGACGCTGACAGTATAGTTGGCGGAGTAGTTTTTGGCCGGTGGAGGAGCTGGCAGACAGGCCTACTCTGTGTACCTGAGGTGGCACGGTCAGTGTATTTCTTTTGTTTGGGCGTTCAGTCACACAAGCTCCTCAGTGCAGTCAGCATTATACTTTCGCAAAAGTGACTCGCTCCGAGCCTTCCCCTTGAAAATTCCACCGGCCAAAAACTACTGCGCCGACTATACCTAGGTTATAATGTTGAGTGACATGACACCTTAGTGTTAATTTATTGCAGACACAGAACTAATGTTGCAAACACAAACGTACTGTTGAAAATTTAATTATAGTAGCCCAGAACCGAGAAATATGTCCATTTTAAAATTTACGCACTTCCATATAGACTGTTTCAGTTAAAGTTGTGTATGCAGATGTTCATTACATATCATGTAATGCGAAAGATGATACGTCTTTAAAAACATATATAAAATCCAATTCGATATTCGTGTAAAGTGGCACAGATGCGAACGAACATTAAATCCGGAAAACAAAATTTTAATTTAGACCCCGAAAAAATATTTAAACGAAATTCGTTCTGTAATTTCTGAGATGAAACATCCAAGACGGGAAGACACGACATCCACGCATTTATTTCATGCATTTTACGCAAAAAACGCATAAAATTAGGACAGTCTTATAATATGTAAGTAATAGGCAAATTCACGACAATTTGGGGATTACATTCTTCGCTGACGTCAGAGCATCGACTGGGAGTTTCGTCTTAAAGTTATCTGATGCGGGCAACCTCTTAGTTCTGAAAATTCGAAGGCACTCGTGCCTACAAAGGCCTGTCTTTTAACTACTCGACTACCCTGACTGAGATTTTCCTTGAATTTCCTCAGTCGTAAGACAAATACCAGTCTAGTAAATAGTATTACACAGTAAGACAGACATCGATCGCATTTTAAATGTTCTACTGTGCAGATGTGCTACATTTCAAACTGGAGAAGTCTGGGTTAATGTCCGCTGTGCCGTACCTGGTGATGGCCATTGTACTGCAGTTCTCAGGACGCCTGGCAGATTGCCTGCTAGTCAGGCGCATCCTTACCACCACCCAGGTATGAATTCCACACGCAGTTAAGATAGTGAACAACGGCTAGGTGGAGCGAAGGGAGAAATATTTTTTTCTGGTTGCGTATAACACAAAGATAGAGGCAATAGATTCCTCCGTGCACGGCGTCATAACCCAGAAGATTATCTACCGCCGTGGAAACCTGCCTGCCTCGAAAATAGTTATTTCCTGCAAGGATGCCTTTGCCAATATTTTCTAATAAGTTTTAATTATTGTAGCATACAGACGAAGTGGATAACTCTAAATTCGATTCTTGGAAGAAATTTAACAATTTCTTGTTACGCGTATTTTCCACGATAGCCAATAGTGCATGGTACTTAATCTGCGATAATTTACCTTCAGAAGAACTGACACGACCGTCAATATTATCCCTAAATTCAATAATTTAAAAAATATTCCATCACATAAACCGAACGTCGCTGTCGAGTGGTTATCATTCCTGCCTGCTTCTTACGCAAGAGGTCTCGGATTCAAATCTCGGCTCGGAGATCGTCTGCCCTGACCTGCCGTATATTTTTGTGTTGCGAACTTTAAACACGCCGTTTACGTATTTAAACTATCATGTTACTGCAAACAATAACTGAGATTATCGCGTAATCCACTCT